ATTTGTAACATCATATAGAAAAGATACATATACTTATGTGTCTGCATAAACAATTGTAATATTATTAAAATTATATTAACTTTTTCATAAAGATGATTTTCAGGAAAGAGAGTAGACTCAGAAATGCAAAAGAACTGTACTCAGCCATCTACCACCAAACTCTGACTAACTTTGGTAATTATAATTCACTGATGAAAATATTTTAAGTCAGCATATTTGTGTTGAATATTAAGAATCAACCAATCATACTTTATCCTGATTTCATGTTCGTTGAATATCATCATCATCATCATTACAAATACTAAGAGATTTGAATTTCTTCCTGAATGCTGAAGTTGTCTGAGTTCTGAAGAGAGAAACTTTAGATATTAGCTCTTGTCTTTTCAATCATACGCTACCAGTTGGATGAAATGGTATCAGGCTTTCGACAGGCTCCGTTGTTACTGCATAGATTAATATGCTACAGCCTACTAATTATAATCAAATGCTATAAACTTGAGACTTGGTCGGTGGCAGTTTTGTGAAATGGAGGGTAAACCTCCTGACAACTGAGCTGAACATCTATGCTTCAAGTCCTGCCAAGTTTGCCTTTGGTCTCAGTAATCATTATTCTTGTAAACAGTCGCTGTTTTTTCAGAATCCAGGCTCTAAAGAAATCCTAAAGACGAGACCAATTTCTGTTCAAAATGATAATTTAACGTTATTTTCTTCTGACTTCAACATATATTCAAACATTGGCCTAGTACTGAATAAAATCTTCACCTGAAAAGGAGTAAAATAGAGTCCATGAGAAGAATGGGCTTCAAAACTCCCTGTTAACATCTCATTGGCTTCGTTATTAATAATTTTCTTCTCATAAATCATATGCCCGAATATTATTACAGTGTTATGGCGCCCAGTGGAAACAAAGACTAAAGTTTATTGTTAAAATAAAAATATATTTTTAGTTGGATTATTAAAACCTTGGTGGAAAATAAGAATTTTTAAGACAACGTCTAAACTATACAATGAAAATCTATATTAAGACGATATTTGGTGGATCGCATAAGTAAACATAAGTTTATGTTTTATGTATGAAATAATTTTGACATGAATAGTATATTACTTAATCAGACAAAAGCATTTTATGGATAAATGAAAGCCTATTATAAATTTGTCATAATCATTAACTGACAAAGTTAATAGACTGATTCTAGACTGTTCATGAATTGATTGGTCAGTGAACAGAAACCATTAAAACTACTGAATAAATTTCGCCGATCTAGTTGTCAATGTGATCATCAAGTTAAAAGGCTCCCCATTTTAATTCACTAGACGGTTACTCAGTGACTACGATGATTTGTAGAGATCTCTTAGAACTAATATCAGTCACTCTTCAGTGACCAATCACTGTCTATAAAACATTTTTATAGTAGTTTAGTCGTGACGTAAATCGCTCATTGGTAACATTCCTAACTGTAGTGATGATTAACGCAGATTTAGAACTCTAAGGAGAATAAGTTATCTCAACGTTGCAGATACACTGTACTGATGAGTGCTGATAGGAATGAAATCTAGGTTCACTTCTTCCAAACGACTGTCTTCGGTAACCTAGTGTTGGAAGCTTATTTTGTTTAAATCTGAGATAGTTATAACCTCAGACAACTATAAACTCATTTTTCATCAATCACTATAATATACTTGTAAATTAAATCATTTTTATGGAAAGCTTAACAGTCATATTTTCTTGATATTATACTGTCCTACTTTCACACTTAATAACAAACTCGTCAAATGAGTTTAAACAGTCGGATGGGGTAACATTAATTAGGATTCAGGGTGTATACTAACATACTTAATTATTCAAGAGACTTTAGATGAAAAAAGATTCTGTTTCCAACTGCAATATATGGCAACATAAGTGTACAGACTACCTTTCTCAATTAGTAAACTCAACTGAATATAACAGATATGCTGAGTTAAAGATTTCGGGTTTGTCCTTGAAAATACGTTAGTTTGGGAAAATCCCTTTTTCGCTATAACTATAGTAAGATGTCTTAATGACGTAAAAGTGCTAACTTTGGTTGTACGCTTAATATAACCGCGCTACTGAAAACCTTGAATAAATCTCCAGCAGATCCTAGAAAAGATCACAAATCATGAAGCGATTTTCTTTACTTGGTTGCTTTTGCAATTTGTGCCTAGTTTATGAGTTAAGTATGCATAACTTTACTGATCTTTCTTCACATGTTTTGTTTTTTGAGTCTACTGTATTTCCAGTATCTCAAAGTTTCATGATCTTATTTGAAAACCTAAATAAACTAGCGATCGTTAAGCTTTCCCACAGTGAATAGTTTAATATCAACTGGAGGAAATGATTCAACGTGACAAACCATGAAGAATAGTGAAATGTTTTACATTCTGTCATGTACTCAGTGACAATTACATCGATAGTCATACAAGATTCTATTCGTCATATTACTCAAGTTATTCACTACTAGCTTTTTTAAAATGTACTGGATTATAAATCACATGTTAACGAGAAGCTAATTCTGACATCATTCACTCAAGTACAAATGGTTTTTATAACAGGTCAACTTTCTTTTAAAACATGAGTAGTACTGAACTGTTTTGATCTGTTAGAAGCGAATGGATGTAAACTATCAACCTAAATAATTTGCCTACTGGTAAAAATCAGTAATACAGAACAACTAACGTTTAGAGAACTTAGCCCCTACTTCTTTGTAAAATTTGTTACATTGTGTTTAAGGATGTAGTTAACGGTGTTAACTGACTTGCAGTGCTAACAGAACTTATATTTGGTTAGAAGAGAGGTAAAGGTGGCCAGAGCAAGAAGCGACACCAGTCCATGAAGTCCCTGACGCTTGATGTGAGCCATGTGGGAAGATGATAACTGCCTGGCTGTGGTCGCCAAGATGATAGGAATCAGTGGTTGAAGATTCTTGATGATACGCCTGGAAATCAGTCACAGTGGCTAAAATATATTCACTCTTTGACATCTTCTAAAGCTTGAATATTTGCACTATTCATTATCTTCAAACTGTTCATCTCCTCACATAGCTTTTTCTACATTGAAATTATTGTTATTCCATTCGCCTATTGTTTGTATCCCACTGTGAAGTGTGGAAACTTGAATCAATGCACCTGTGTGCGAGGTTGTATGTTGATTTTGTCTGTCTATCTGTCTCCGTCTACAGGTGTTTATCACATAAATATTCATCTTATATCAACATTACATATTTATTGCCGTCAATATTCAACGATGATCTGAAGATCAAAACAGGTACACGATGAACATTTGGAATACTGAAATGGTGTCTACATGAATTCCATTAAAATAACTTTTTGTCATTCAACAGAAAATACAAGAAGATTTTCAAAAAACAATTTCAAACTTGTAAATAATGTTTCACATGAGACAATAGTTTTTCATTTTTAACCAATATTTAAAAAATATCTTCAGGATTCTGATCAGCAAAAAACTATCTGTAAGCTATCAAACAAGGTCATCAATAAGTCTGAATAAGAATTCTAAAACACTTTATGGAGAGACTATAATTATTATTATTATTATTATTAGTCCCTTGGGTTCCTAGTGGAACATAGGGCTTCAGTAGCACACCTCCATTTCATCCTGTTCTCTGAGATCTTTTGAACCTGGTTCCACGACAGCCCACAAGCTCTCATTTCTTCCTCGCACGACCTCCTCCATGTCACCCTCAACTAGGACGTCCAACTCGTCGCTTCCCATGGGGATTCCACTCGACGGCCTGGCCTGACGCGTGATGTCCTCAGTCGGCCTTCTCAGTGCATGGCCAATCCATCTCCACTTCTTCCTGCATATTTGCTGCGTGATAGGTTCTTGGTTGGTTCGTTCCCAGAGTTCCTTGTTGCTTATTCTTTCTTGCAATCCATCTGATCTTCAGTAGCGAGCGTAAGCAGTTGTTGATGAATGTCTGTAGTCTATTGGAAATCACTTTCGTAACGCGCCAAGTCTCTGAACCATACAGGAGCACTGACTTGACGTTGGTGTTGAAAATCCGGATCCTGGTCCACATGCTGAGTGCAGAAGATCTCCACACTGGTTTCAGGTTAATGAACGCCTGTCTTGCTCTTCCGATTCTGACTTTGACATCCTCGTCTGTGCCATCACCGCCTGTAGTTGAAACAGTGCTTCCTAGATAAGTGAAGGAGGTTACTTCATTTAAGTTTCTCCCGTTGATGGTGACTGGAGTTTGTTGTTGTTGATGATGGTGGTGGTGAGGTATCTTCATCACTTCTGTCTTCTCTATATTCACCTGAAGTCCCGTCTTCGCTGCCTCTTCTATCAACTTGTTAGTTTTTGCCTGCAGATCTTCAAGTTTATGTGACATTAGGCACAAGTCAAGAGACTATAATACATCAACAATATTACATCTAAAATAATTTGAGCTATTTCTTCAAATGCTATTGCGTAAGAATGCATGTATTCAGATTAACTTGTTTTGTGGTTACATAGTGTAGCTATTCAATGCTTCAAACATCATTTCATATCTTGCTATCTACAATAATCATCGAGTACTTGGTACCATTGAAAAAGATTGTCTTTACTTTTTTGCATTAGTTGTTCATTATGTGAATTAAAAAAGGTGAGGGTTTTTATTCTTACTGACGAATTTTATATTAGTTGACTTCTAATGCACAACATTTGTGAAATTATTGATATGATTAATCCATTGTTACTTACACAGGAAATGGTTTAGTCATAAAATATTCGTTCGTAACACTTAATGATACGTATTCTCAACTAACGGAAAAGTGATAATTCCCGAAAAAATTTCGTATATCTTTTCATAGTAAGTGCAAAACAGGATGAATGTTTATTTAGGACATTCAAATGGATAAAGAAGTAGGCGACTAGTAAGTACTAAGAAGTAGTCAGTTTAATAAAAGTACGATTGGACAGAAAAACTGATGTCATAATTTATTTTTTTTTTTTGCTTTGCGTTAGAACTACTTACCTCTTTATAAACTTCTTCAGGTGATAATAGAACATTTAGACAATTGCTGACATGATGATCACAACAAGCTATTGGTATGCTTTCACGATAATCTTCATAACCATTTACACCACAGCAACGCAACTATGTAAAGAAAAAAAAGTAGAAAATTTTAAACTTGAAGCCATATGTATATCATAGTGAACATGCTTGATATATTTTTTCATGTACAACAAACAGCAACAATTTTTGAAAAATTGTATGCACAGGACTACTTTATTTGAAATTTAATGTCTACTACTTTTCTGTCAAATGACAATAGTAGTGCATTGGTTGTGTATGTATATAAAGAAAAAGAATCCTCTCCATAAATAGGAAGAATAAAATTTAGCTTCGTCAATAGAAATATTGCTGTTAGATTATGAATTTCATTGGTGATAAATCACTAATGTATTCTTTAACACTGTAAATGTCACCCACTTGGATCCATTCTTAAGTTTCTTCAGGAATTGAAAATACCAAACCTCATAAAAAATGAGTCGCAATATATATAATTTCAGTGTGTTTAAGAAATCAAAGCGAAATTCTTCTACGCGTTTCATCGTACAAGCCACACTTTCTTTAGTATAATAATGAATACACAATGATAAGCTCAAAAAGAATCGAAACACACTGGGACCATACTAAAACTGGCTGTTAAAATGACTAAATCAGCCTTGGTGGTAGAATTCTTTCAAGACACTCGTAACAATACTGGTCTATATATTTATAATATCTTCGAAACTTCTATCTAAAAAGGCAGGTGAACTTAACATTTCAATCAAGCCATTTTAAGAAATTTTAATTTCCTCAAAATTCCAAATTTGGCTTCAACAACATGCATGTTGAATAGCTGATCGTCAACGTCATCGCAGAAAATGATGCTTATACACATGAGTTTTTGCCTTACGCATCATCAATTCGGAGCGATAATAAAAATCTTCAGTTTGTACTTGTTTGTCTTTTGTCTTACTTACTAGTGGACTCCATTGGGGTTTACATATAAGAAGTCCTGAGTTTCGTTACTGAACATTAATGTGAACGTAGTTCATACAAAGCGATTTACTATGAAGTTAAGCACAATTTTTTATCCAAGGGCAAAACAGTAAAATTACTTAAAAAACTTTATACTCTACACAACCGCTTGTTTAAACACTCTAATGACGACTAATTAGTACTTTCTATGTTTTAATATTCTGATCATGAATTATTTATCACCTACCAAGATAATTCTTGTACTGCCACCTTCAAACAGAAACATTTAAAACTGGATGTCAGTGAATTCATTCACTCTCAAGTAATCCTTCCTCCATCACATTGCTATGAATTAGCATCTTATTAAGACTTTTTTTAACACTGCATGGAAATGAATTAACAATCGACGTACATTATGCATTTTATGCAACCGATATCTGCTACCTAAACGGTAGTGGCGGGCTTGAATAACACACTGATACAAGTAACAATAGGTAAATGCTTGTTCCTTTAAGATCCTATCCTAATGGAAAGGTTAGCTTGACAGTAGTGAGACTAAAAGGCATTCACCATTGTAGTGTAGGGTTGATATGCTATGATGGGTGTTCTAATCCAAAGTCATACTGATGCATGGATGAGGTGTGACAGCAGTAAGGTGTTTCCTGCGGGGTAACCAGCTGACTGGAAAAGGGTCAAAGGTAGCCACACTATGGCACGGTATCAGTTCTTGAAATCTCTAACTGTTGATCTGAGTCATGTAAAGGTCCATGTGATAACATAGATCAGTGGTTGGAGACTCTAGATGAAATGGCTGAGAATCCATCTCATTGGCGCAGATGCATTCACAAATTATCTTTATTTTATTCGTCAAAATGAATTTCAGCATTCTTTCATTTAACCTTGCCGTCTTTTAATGACTTTCTACCAAATTTTGGCTGCTTTTTTCTTTATTTATTGATCTCTTATCTCAGTCCACTTTCATTTCATGTGCTGACACGAAGTATGGCAACTTGTACCGCTACCCAATAATGTCAGGTGTTATGTTGATCTTGCCTGCCTATTTGTATTTCCTTGACACCTTACTGTCAACGTTTTTCAGCTTTCAATGAGTAAATGAACTAGCATTTTTGTCTATAAATTCACAAAAGTAATCTCATGTAGATTGAGTGAGACTTATAGTTCACATGGTGTATGTGAACTTTACCATGGATTTAGTTTATGATGACATTATAATCATGCTGTAACAACACTGACAATACCAATGGTAATAAATCACTATTAAAACGTACACATTCATTCACCAACAAATTAACCTTAATAATTCATAATTCCGATAAACTCTCGAATTTCAGTCAGTCAATGGCTTGTGAATGGAATCCTCATTCAGGTTTACTATATATGTATGCCAAAATAACTTTTTTATCTCCTCTTTATATCAAAACGTAAGATTCATTGCAAATGGAACAAAAACTTATAAACATAACTTACCATACGTTGAATTGAATCCATAAACGGTACAGGATTTTCACGCTGGTCACGCAGCATTGAATATTCTTCGATACCTTCCCTCATACGATCATCCACATATTTCATAATCTTTATTTAAAACAGAAAGATATTAAGAACAACAATGATCACTTTCATCTACTAAGAAAGAATAGCGTAAGAAGGTTGTTACTTTTTACCGAATTGCCGTGTAAACATGAAAAGTTGAAAATATTATCCAAAGATTTACTGAATAAATCAGATCAGATAGACAGACAGAATCATAGTAGAACTTCGTACACCAGTGCATCAGATTAAGCTGCAACACTTCACAATAGTATACGACATCAAAGTAGACTTTCTGTGACAATAAACAATTTGGAGAAAAAGGTACTCAGAGATATTCAAGTTTTAGAAGACATCATAAATGAATACGTCTGCGCCAGTGACCGATTCCCAGCCATGTTACCAACAACCGTCAACCACTAATTACTTTCGTCTGGAGGATCCCAACCAGGAAGTCTAAATCACCCCACACGACTCAGACCAAGTGACAAGGACTTCGTGGACTGGTGCCACGTCTTGGTCTGCACATCCTGAACCTTCTTCCAACCTAAACCAAATTTCCAAAGCATGAAACATCAAGGTAGGTGGGGGCTCGGCATGCGCAGTACATATCCAAGCCATCTCAGCCAATGAACATTCACAACCCCATGAGTTGACATGTCTACACTGCTACAGGAGTGCTCACACGATGATCCCACCAAACATGAGTAGTGCTACAAAGACATCTCTGACCAGAGCCCTGTAGTCGCTTCACGCCTTTGACCATGTTTCATAGCCGTATAACAAGACATGCTTTCACTTGAATTTCTCCTTAGATATACGACTATTTCTCTGGGTTACGTGTTTACTGCATTTTGCCTATTATAACTAGTCAGTATCTGACAAATCAACTTCCTACACAGAGAGCAGTCCACCCCTATATACAGTAGAGATCTTTCAAGTCTTGAAAAATTAATAGACAACAAAATGATTCATGTAATAGCATTTCATAGATTAGGTTTTATTTTTTAATCAGTAAGGTCCAGGCAAAGAATATTGTGGAGCGGAAGATCAGACAACTACATCATGTTTAAGGCTACTTCAAATACTGTCGTTTAAAAACACCCACATCCTCGAAGGTTACAAAAGATCTAAACACGCACATTGTTTATCACACACAATTACTAGTAATAGTTGTTTCTAAAGTGGTAAAGTGTAATATCATGGATTACATAAACGGAAATCTCCATTACAGCTATATATATATATATATATATATATATATATATATATATATATATATATATAGCCAACTGGAGAATCGCTTGAATACCGAGTTTTTGTTTTTCTAAAATAGCTTACAATATGGCAGGAAAGTAATTCACTTATCCGATCGTGTATAAATAAAATAAATTCAGCTGACAGTTTACAAAGCATACCCATAAGTAGTTGTACTATATTTAACGGTAATGAAAAGATTACACAACAACAAGTGCAACTGAACAACAGGTATGACAATCAACACCTATTTTACATTTTATTTCATTCGATAATGGTAATTTTATACCACTTTGCATAAAACTATTTCTAGTGAATGGAACAACATAACCTCCAATAATATATGGAAAGAATAGTAGACTCAAGTAAGACAATAAATATTCTAACCCCCATGGTGCGTAGCTGTAGTATATTTTTGAAGTGAATGCGATTTTTAATTTTGAAGTAGTATTCATCGCTGACTAACATCAGTTGGACAACCCTTAAAATCCCAGGAGGACTCTAAGGTTGTTTTGTCTCAGTATGGGTCTCCTCAGCAGTGTGCACCTATGACCCATCTAGGGACCAATCTCAAAACCTTCAGGTCTCATGGTGAACGCGTTAAACATTTAGCCACTGAGTTGGAGATCAATGGTCATCGTTTTCGCCTTGAAACCTGAAGGCCCTGAGTTCGATACTTAACCAGGTCATGGATGTGTACTGCTGAGGAGTCCCACACTAGAATGAAGCAGCTGTCCAGTGCATCCAGATTTTCAATGACCCTTAAACTGATGTTAGTCTGTGACGAATACCACCTCAATATAGCTATAAGTTTGAAAACCAACAGATACCGATCAATTCGGTCTAGTCGATGACGAGATAATACAAATAGCAATATAAAAACCATGCCTATAGCACAAGAAAAGGATATCATGACTCAGTGGCCTAGCGAATGATGCTCTAGACTTTGAACTGATTAGTCCTGGGTTCAGGACTTTATGGGAACAACATCCCTCACTGTGAGGCAGTTGCATCCGGCTGATGGGTCGCAAATAGGACGAAACACGCTTTCTGGATTCCACTGCTAGCCACTACTCATCACTAACATAGAAACAGCCGTCGTAAAATGTATTAAAAATCCGAAATTCATTCACGAGTACCAATTTTTGGCGTGAAGATTGGTTAACAGAAATTGCTATGAAGCCCTCCAGCTAGGATTCTTGTCTCTTGCATCCAACTAGTGTGAGGATACCATCAACACATTTTTGATACGAATTCAAAATTATACTGCAAAAAGAATTCAAATTTTTTAAGGTTATATTTCGTTTTATAAGTATTTTGGGTAAATTTAAAGGACATATTTCCCATATTCAGTTTTAAACCATTCATTGACAGAGGCAAATTTTCACGTTAATTCTGAGTAGGTAGTTAAATGCTGGTTGGTCATCAAGTAAATTTTAATAAATTCATACAACTTATTATCAATATGAAACTCCCGGAGAAAAAAAGTAACTAATCGATGAAAAGGCTAATTCAGTACCTACTTAGCGTCTAATTATTTATCTTATCCAATTCATGAAGATAAGTGGGAACTAAATAAACAGTAACTATAAGAGACTAGCAAGAATCGCTGGTAAAAGCTATCGATTTAAGAAAGTAGTACAATATTGAACGCCTAGATTCGGTAGTACCTCAGTTGTACTGTTATCCGTACTAGAGCTAGATTGATTTATTGCCAAACTTCATGGCTTCTAATTCACTCTCTCAATCGCTACATCTTCTTACATACTATCCAAAGTACCAAAAGGTGTGATGTTTGACCCAAAAGTGTCATGAAATAGCGAAAGATGCTACTACTGAACAACTTGAGTAGTTAGAAACCACCCAGGTTAATCTGTAGTGTTTCGCTAGCTAAATTAGAGTGATCTAAACACTGGACGGCAATTTCGCCCGTTTGAAGCCAAGCTCGTCAGCGGTGTACTCGAACGAATTACTCTCATAGTGCTGAATTAGCTCAGACCACTTGAATTTGACTAGTTGACTTGACTGGACCGGTATACCTAAAATGGAATGAACAAGTTGCAAATGATCACTTTAGTCTGGCTGGCGAAACACTGAATATCGGCCTGATTAGTTTCTAGCCTCTCAAGTTGTTCAGTAGCAGTATCTTTTGCTTGACCTCTGTTGGCAAATGAACCCCTACGCAGATACCTCGATACTGTCGGATATTTTTGATGTTGCATTCATCTTGGTGGCTGACAAAGGAATAAAGGACATGCGTTTCATCCTATTTAGTGTTTGTCAGCCAGATGAGCCTGCACTACAGTAAGTGATGCTGTTGCAAGGGAGACTCAAACCTCGTATCCATAGCTTCAAAAGCTAAACTCCTTTCCACTAGGCCAGTGAGACATGATAGCTACCACTTTCACAAAGGGTATTAGTTAACATGATTTGTTGGTACTTGTAATTCTACGTTGCTCTACTTGGTCACTGGCATGGTGGATAACGTTTTGGCATTTGAAACAATGGGTATTGGGTTCGAATCCCAGTGTCGACAACATCACTCACTGGGTTGCGAGTACATTTATCTGAAGAGTCCCGAGTAGGACGAAACGTGCGTCCTGGATTCCGCTGTCAGTCACCAAAATGAGTACAAAATCCAGCACTCGTTATCTATCTAATACAAAATTGGTCATCTGAATGATATTCTTATTGAGACTAGTAGTTGTTATCCATCATTTCATTTATCAAAGCAATAATCAATAAGCTATTAGATTACGATAGCCATTTCTCACTCAATAAACTTATGTCTTATTTTAACCTGAAAGTTTCATGCATTAATTTGAAGGTCTGGATTCATCAAGCACTGCTGGTTTCATTTGAAGAGTTTCGAATAAGCACGGCCTGCATTCCATTACAAATCATGAACAGGTAAGAGAGATCAATTGACCATGGAAACAAGGAAAAATAGTCATCTTATACTAAACTATATTTGGTAGCCATTTGACCAGTTTTAACTTTTTTGATTTAATGGATTAAATCAATATTTATCTCTTCGAACAAAATTGAATGAATTTAATCATTTTTTACACTTATTCCATTAAAAATTTCAGCTTGCGTCGTAAACTTCATAATGCAGACTAAATTTTGTAAATCATTTGGTTTTCTCTGTCATTGGCTATTTGTTCGTGCCTTTTTCCTTTAACATGTATCATAATCATAATCACTTTGGTACTGGTCAACTTGCATCATTACTGATACCAACTGTCGAGATATTTGACTATCTATCAAAGGACGACTTTACTGCGCTTCATTTCATTCTAACCTGTTGTACGACGGTGAAACATGGCCGAAGATGTGAAGTGGTCACAGAGTTATGATCAAAGATGTCTTGATAGAGTTGCTCACATTTGGTGGAATCATCGCGTGGGCATTCTTGTGGTCTGGGAGAAGGTGCTGGGCAAGACAAGCAAGTTAGTCAAAGAGGTTGCGAACCCTGATCGACTGGGATAGTTTGATAATACAGTGCACATCCAAGGCCACCACCTACTCCACCGTACCATGCCAAGGGTAGTTGAATTAGGTTGAAAGAGGGCTCACGTTGGCAACAAAATGACGCAGCACCTTCTCAATGAAATCTCTTGCTGTCAGCCTGAGACGTGTGGGAAGATGCAGACTACTTGGTTTGAGTCTCAAAACGGTAGGAATCAGTGTTCACTGTGATGCAGATGTATTCACTCCCTGATATCTTTTAAAGCTTAAATATTTGCACTAACCTTTATCTTCAAGTTGTTTATTCTCTGACAATA